GAAATGTATCGCGATGTCAAGGAAGAGGAGCATTTTGAAAGAAATTGTTGTCGATAGTGTCTCGCCACAGGTCTAATTCTTGATCATATGATGATATCTTAGGTTAATTTGAGATAGTGTACTGACATCAGAATATATGTACCAAATGAAATTGTGAAAAAGAAGTGACAAAATTGATGTTCAGTAGATACTAAAAATCTCAGAATATCAAATTACTAGATCTGAGGCACATAGCTTTAGCTAGCATAGAAGATGTCTATTAAGTTCTGCCAAGTTTTGCATAATTTGGAAGGATATGAATAACAAATTAATCAACAAAGGAGACTGTCTATTAATGGTGATGTGGTAAGACATCAAGCAGCACAAGGTAAGGAAAATAATAATTAAAAAAAAAAGATATATTAGCATGAGCAAATGAATTTCTTTGGAGGATTTAGTATAGGTATAAAATTTTCATTTATTAGAATGGAGTTCTTTGAGAATACCAGTTATTAGAATAATTCTTTTAGGCATTTCATGTAATTAGAAATTTTCCTATAGATATTGTTTCCTACAAAGTGATACTTAAACCTAGAAAGAATTAACCATGAAACCCATCTGTAGATTCACATTACCTCCAGCTTTCTGGACTGGGCTTCAGCTTTAGCACTCTGAAGGTTTACCCAAGCTTGAATTTTTGCTTCTTCTCTCTGATATCTGAAGATGAGATGAAACATTACAAGCGAAAAGATTGAAGTGCATGCATAAGTTCAATATAGAGATCTATTTCCATAGATTTGGCATGAGCAATTTACCTGACACAACTCTTAGTTCTCTGCCCTTCTTCCCATGCAGAAGCTCTGGATTTAGCAGAGCTCTTCCTTCCACCACTTATCTCCAAATGCCTCAAGCTCTTTGACACCTCCTCGTCTTCCTCTTCCCTTGAGCTCCAGTTGGAAACAAATGAATCATACTGAGCACTAAGCTCGAGCTTGGCGAAGTGACAGTCTGTGAGCTCAGAAATGTCAATGCCGGTGCTGTGAGGAACCAAAGGGCCAGACCTGTCAGCTGGAGTGTTGTGCCTTGCAGGTGAAGTGATCTTGACGGGAGTGTGGCATCTCGTTGCTGTGGAGCTGCCTAAAGGAGTCATTTCAGTGCCGATATCTCTGCGTTCGATCTCAGCTACTAGTGCTGTTGTCGAATCTTTCATGGGTTCGAAATATGAACTCTTGAACAAAAATCCTTCCTTGGTGATCTCGGAGTACCCATAGTTGGGGTAGACTGATTCCACATTTTCTGTAAACTTGTCTGCAGCAAAGATTAATTCCCGAAAAAAATCATGCAATTGGGATGATCAAAAGCTGTATATTGGTTGAAAATGAGAAAAGCAAAGCTAATCGTTGAGACAAAAAAATGGATTTTTGGCATCAACCTTTGAGAAGTACGTCCGATGAGGCTCCACTGAAAGCTACATTTGTCTCTGGATTCATGGCTGGCCCATTAGAAGCTGGATTAGGTGAGCTTGGAGCTTTATCCTGAGCAACCCTCAGCAGCTTCCCAACGAAAGCATCACCGTTCTCTTGGATGACACCATTTTGCCTAGAGAACTTCGATGCCTCGACTGCTACTTTCACATGAGCAGGTGATTCATGGCAATGGCTACTGATCAGCCACTTCTCAGCATCATCCCACTTGGAGGGGACGCCCTTCCTGGGGAGGTGCCCAGGACTGAAGCTGAACACTGGCCTGCCAGGAGTCGTCGGAGTCTCCAGCCTCCTCCGTGTGACTGCGCTAAGACCCTCTCTTCTTCTCTTAACTGAGGCCTCGAAGAGGCCTCTGTTATCACCCATGTTCTCCGTGGTCGTGGACCAGGTCTTTGCAGACAAGTGGTCTGCTAATGGATTCTGCTTGTTGGTGCAGTAGAAGCTCGAGCCACTTTCCAGTGAATCCTGTTCAATGCTCACAATTGCAGTCAGCGTGATCATTACAAGATCAAGAGGCCAGTACAGAGAATAGGAAAGTCTTTACCCTCATGGTGACTGGGAAAACAAGAGAGGAAGCTTGCACTTGTGTCGAAGCTTTGTGATCCATTGAAGGGAGGCTAGAAGAGTCTCCATCTTCTTCACTTGCCTTACAAAGCTGAATCATCTTTCAAGGGGAAAAAAGGCCCACTTCCTTTCTACCAATCTCCCTCCTATCTTCTTTTTTACTCTTGTGAAAATTGTCAGACTTTTACAGATGACAACAGAGCAGCTGCAGCAGAATTGGGAGCCAAGTGGCCTTTTCTTTGACTGTCACAACAGTTGCATTCCTAGTGGGCAAGTAGAAGAGAGCTTACATGGAAGAGGAAGCTTTGGGGAAGAACATAAAAGGCGAGCTTGCTACTGTGTTGTCAGCGAGATGAATACTTTGAATCCTTGGGAAGTTTCTTGTTTGGTCTTCTTCTGATATGGTTCACAAGCCACAAGCACCAAGCTTGTTGTATTCTCTGTCTGCTGCCTGCCCTCCTCCTGCACCCCTGCATCCACTTCTACCATGGCATCAATGCTCTGTGAGTACATGCTTCAGAGAGTAATCAATTGCACTCTGCATTAATGTAAGCAACTGTTGTTAATGCTGCAATGGAGTTGAGACTTGTTTAATGGGTATCTTTGTCCACCCAGCTTGGATCTTAAAAGTGCATGAACTAGACAACTCATGTGTTTCTTCAAGTTCAAGGCACAAAGATCATGGTGGATGGGGTGATTCCATGTTGAGAAGCTCCTTCTGATCCTAAACCCTCTCTAGTTTATTGTTCGAGGGTACAAAGCGCTGTCTATGAATGCGTTACGGATTCTTTCTAGGCAACAGAGAGCCACCCCTGATAGCTTTACTCGCCGCACGAAGCAGCCTTTATGGGCTTGGTTCAACAGCTACCTTCAAAGACCACCGCCGCAAGACCAGGCGCCGCACTGCCATCATCGGCGTTCCACCCCTCGTCCTCGTCACCGTCAACCGGTGCTCCTTTGACGCGTGCCGGGACGCTCGCCGCCGCCGTCGTCTACCAAGCCTGCAACATCCTCCCGAGGACCCGACCCCCATGGCGGGGCCGCTGGGCACGATAACCGCCCAGGGTCGGGTCGACCCGAACCAGAACACCGCCATCTCCATCCACAACTGGAACATCAAGCCCGACGGCAACGTCGCCGGAGGGAAGATATACCTCGGTAGGCCATCGAAGCCGTACGCGGCGACGGTGTAGCTGAAGCCGTACGCGGCGACGATCAGCGAACGGAGCGGGTGGGTGCCGTGGGGCGAGGACGGCACCGGACGCCATATTCTACATGATCAAACGATTGCAACATTAGAAATCAAATTAGATGAACAAAGACAAGTCCACTCTCTACATAAATCAAAAAGACATGCATTAGCATACTTCTTAGTCCATAAAGTATAACATATTTAGAATGCATAGCTCAATCTCTCTCTCTCTACAGCTACGTTGTTGCTGGTTCTTGTCAGGAACAAGAGCCTATCACTACAGATCAAACAACATTTATTGCTGAGTGGAGAAGAGGGCCAAAGGACTCTGACATGTCATCCATCCCTTTCAATGTGTGTATGCATCACTCATCTGGCCGTGTTCAAATTCCAACGAAAAGCACCAAACAACAGAGAGATAACGATAACGGCGGTTTGGTAGAGGTAAAAAGCCAATGACACTCCACTCCGAGGATAGACTTAATGGAAAAAAGAGGAGAAAGAAAGAACAAATAGACCAAAACAAAGCACTAAACAACGGGTTAATTTCGTATTAACTTTTTATAGTTTATGCACTTAGATTTTTTTTAACATGTTAGTTATTAAAATTTTATATAATTATAGTTATAAAGATAAAATATTTATTTTTATTGATCTCTAATATCATCGATTTTATTGATAAAAGATATAGTATGTACAGAAATAATATAAAAATAATCGATAAAAAATAATTTTAACATTTTATTTTTTTTATTATGCACTAATTAAAACTTCGATTGTTGTGATAATAGTAGCCGACGAGATTGTCAAAAGCCACGAGTGGTTGTTGTGGTGATGATATATCTTGTCGATGTCAATCTGAATATCGATAACGGAGGGAATGGTAGCGATAGCTATAGCAATTTTATAATGGTAGTGATGGATCTTAGGGATGTGAGAAGGAAAATGGAAAAGAACAGGAGGGGTCAAGGCCAATGCTATCCCCAGCTTCTATGGTTGGGATGATATTATCGTCCCATGAGAGAGGAGGAAGAGGAGGGTGAGCAACGACGATGCTATCCCCAACTTATGTGGCTTTTTGTGGGGAGAGGAGGAGGAAGAGGGGGGGAGAGCGATAGTCATCGTTGTTTTACCACTGCTACAACAACTGCTCCACTCTCGATGGCTTGATGGAGGGGTCAAGGCCGATCAAAGGCATCCTTGTCTACAACAATAGTGCCTTCTGTTTCATCCCTTTAGATCCCAAGTATGGGTTACCCAACCGGGTCTCTCTTTACATCACATTCTGTCGTTACTCTCCCTCCTCTTCCTCCTCCTGCAAAAAGCCATAAAAGCTAGATATAGCATCGCCGTCGCTCTCTCTCGTATTGTAAGGGGAGGAGGAAGTGGAGGGAGAGTGCTTATCTCCTCTCATTTTGCCTTAACTTTTGTCATCGCTCTTTATCCATTTCCTCCTTCTCCCCCCATAAGAAGTTACATAAGCCGAAGATAGCATTACTCTCACTCACTCTCCTCTTCCTCCTCCTCTCTTGCTGGATGATAGTGTCATGAGGACGATGGTCGCATTAATGCTATCTCTTGCAACACTTACATTCCTGTCCTCTTCCTCCTCTCTCTTCATCGTTTTTCTTTCTCTTCCTCCTCACATCGTTGAGATCTATCACCATCATTATCAAACTTTCATCGTAGCTGTGGACGCTGCCCTCATCTCGATCGTCAATGTTTGGATCAATATCGATAAGGTCGACTACCACCACAACAATCCCCCGTGGCTCTTGACAGTGCCATCGTTTGCCATCTTGTTCGCCATCATCACAACAATAGAAGTTTTAATTATTATATAATAAAAAATATAATTAGAATGTTAAAATTATTATTTTTTTATTTTTTATCATTTTCGTATGTATTATCACGTGTTATATATTCTGTTAGTAAATCGATAATTTTAAGCTAAATAAAAATAAATATTTTTTATTTTTATAATTATAAAAGTTTTAAGATAAAATTTTAAAATCTAAAAATCGAGATGACTCAGTTTAACAACTTTTAAAAGGTAACTCAGTTTAAAGAGATGCTAAAAGAAATAGCTACATGACATCTAATTAGCCCCAAACAACAGTTAAAAGGTAACACACTTTAACAGTGGTAACGGCGGCACTATCTTTGGGAGAAAGAACTCGTAAAACAAGGAATGCTGACGGCTCCCGACAGAGCTTAGGATGCGTCGGTAAAAGGACAGAGGAGAAGAACAGAGCAACAGTTGAGACGGGAGAGCCAAATGGATAAACATGAGGATGAAAAACGCGCTCTTTTCTCCGCTTTTTAGACCCCACCAACCCCGAGCCAGGCCTTTTTCCTTCCCCGTAATCCTCCTCCCCTTCTCCTTCTCCTTGCCTTCCCTTGGAAGCCGCCCTCTCCTCCTGCTCCTTGAGCCTAAAAATTGCATCTTTGTGGTTTGCTTTGCTCCTCCGAAAAGTGTTCTTGTGAACTCTGTTCTCCTTTTCGGGCGTCAATCTTGCTGTGTAGAGAAACAAAATCCTTTTTTTGCAATCTGTCAAGGATTTATTTGTTATTACTTGCTCAAAGTTTGGTTTTTGTTTCTTGTCGGTCTTCTGGTGGAGCAAAGGGAGGCTATTTTTTCCTATCTGCTTTCGAGCATGGCCATTTCTTTGAGGTATGGTTCGTACTTTTATGGCGATTATCAGGTTGGGACGGAAAGAAAGGAGATAGGTGTTGGATCTGTGGAGGTTTTAGGTGGGAAGAACGAGTTCAAGGGGAGACAGATTGTGGTCAAGAATCAGAGCAGTTCAGATGGATGGAACCCCAAAGGCCATTCTCACTGCTCCATTCATGTAATCGCTTCATTTCTTATCGTTCATCTCAAGTATCCATCTCTTTTTCCTCTCTTTGATGTATGATTTTTGAGGGTCAGGCATCGAATTGCCTTCCTCGAGCCATGAAGTGGTGGGAGAAGAGCATCATACCTAACATGACGGAGATTACGTCCTCAGATCATCTCGTCGAATCGCTGGCAACTGCAGGGGATAAGCTCGTCATCGTGGATTTCTACTCTCCTGGGTGTGGAGGCTGCAAAGCCCTGCATCCAAAGGTACACAAACTTGAGCTGAGACCACTCTGTTTCCTCCAAGCCCACAACTTCACGTATAGAAATCAATACCTTCTCGTAGATATGTCAGCTGGCTGAATCATACCCCGACGCAATCTTTCTGAAAGTGAACTACGAAGAGCACAAATCCATGTGCCACAGCCTTCGCATTCATGTGCTGCCATTCTTTCGGCTCTACAGAGGCGCACAAGGTCGTGTCTGCAGCTTCAGCTGCACCAATGCAACCGTAAGGCAGTCAGTCCCCGGCCACATAAACCTGTCGAGACCGTCGCTGCTGCTTTCTCATACTCACAGTGATGGTTGCAGGTCAAGAAGCTCAAAGACGCAATGGCAAAGCATGGGACCGAGCGATGCAGTCTTGGACCAGCGAAGGGCTTGGAAGAGGAAGAGCTTCTCGTGTTGGCTTCGAACGGCGGAGCTCGGTTTAATCGTCCACCAGCACTCTCAAGCATATGACTCTTCGGTAGCTAATAGAACAGACCTCGATTCCTGTTCGGCATGTGTCCAATAAAGCTGTGCAACAGAGGTTCTTCAAGATTCTTCTTCAGTGCCCTGCTTGATTCATAAGCATTCACCGGATTAGGATCGGTAATTATGAATCGTGAACTATCGTGCATCTGATTCGAGTTGTAATTCCTCGTAGGATTTTCTACGAGCACTTGGTATGTATGGCTTCAGTGCCAAACTTAACAGTGATTACCTTACCACATTAACTATACGTACATCTCCATCTTGCTGTTCTGTTTTTGCTGCTTGCCACACAGCAAACAAGATGAGAGATACCAGTTGACCATCAAGGAACAGGATGAAGCACACTGGTGGAATGGAATTCGTTGATGCACTCTGTCCTCAAGCCATGTGATGCCAAAGACACAGCTTGCCTTGTCCTTTGAGCCATGCTACAGCCAGCCTACACGGGTCGCTGCAGACAAGAATAACAGTGCATCTTGCCAGGCAAAAGAGCTGAAACAAGAGGGGATGAGGTTTACCAGCTTATCAAACACCAACATTTGTACACGCTATGGCTCTTCAACAAGAACATGGCAAATTGGCACAAGGATTTCAAATTTGATCGAAATACTCGTTTATGGATTCAGTTTATACAAATCCGAAGAAGGGGAGTACATGAAAGAAAGAGAGAGAAAAGTTTCAGCAAAAACTGATCTCCATAAGCTTCACAAACTCGGTGAAACCTATCTTTCCATCATGGTTTTCGTCATAGATAGTTATCATGCTCATGCACGCATCCAACTCCAACCCTTCTGTGAAACCAAGCTTAAGGAGAACACTTTGTAGCTCCCCTGCATCAATGTACCCATCGTTGTTCTCGTCAAAGACATGGAAGGCAGCTTTTACTTCTTCCAAACTCGGCTCCCTCTCTTCAAACAGGCTAGAGATCTCATCGGAGGCCGTCTCCTCCTTGAGGTGCTCACCTTCGTGGTTGCGCCTTAGCCCCACGCTGTCCATGACCACCTCCATGTCTTCGCTACTTAGGCCGATGTCTTCATCTCCAGGGTGACTGGTTTTGCACTTCAGCGGTTGCGCATCCAGGAGCATAGACACGCATGCGGAGAAAGGGACGTATAGTGAGAACTTCTCGAGCATCATAATGATCCAGTTGAGGGTGTTATGGAGGAAGAGGAAACCAACAGGTTCTGCCACAGAGACTGAATTCTCCATTTTGGTTGGTGGCTACGAGGAGAAGAGGAGCGAGAAGTGAGAGAGAGAATGGAGAGACCCGGGGATGTGATGTTTGTGTTGAGCTGCCGAGAAGAAGTTGACGGAGGTGATGCTTTTATAGGAGGATGAGACCATCGGAGAAGATTGGAACAGTTGTCAGTACAGGGAGATGCTTCCCTTGGTGCAGACATGGATCGAGCAGCATGATCCTTACTTTGTGGGTCATGTTGGAAGCTGACTTGGTGGAAATTTCCTTGAAACATAGCATCAAAGCTGGCCTGCTTGATTATAATTCTTTATCGATTACTTGTTGATCACACTGACAAAGACTAATGCATAGAGCAGAGAGTTCAGAGGGAAAACCAGCAAGAGTTTACGGGAATCTAATGTTTCCCGACAAAGACTTCCATATATATATATATATAGATATAGAGAGAGAGAGAGAGAGAGAGAGAGAGAGAGCGGCGTAATAATTGGGAACCCCAACCGAACCCGGAAGTCGAACCGGGTCGAAGAAGGAAGCGAACCGGCCGCTTGCATCGTCAATATCCAAGGCTATGCGGGGCCGTCTTCTAACCAATGGGAGCGCGTCAATAAAGAAAAACCCACTGGAACCCAGAAGGTGAACCGGGTCGAAATGAGAAGCGAACCGGCCTCATACTTCCGGAGGGCCCGTGTGCTAAACCAAGGCGAGCGCGGCACCAAAAAGAATACCCCAATCGAACCAAAAAACGGCAAACCGGGTCGAGTCAAGAACCGAACCGGCTATCTACCTACTCTCGTTTCTCCTAGCGTCATCCATTTCACCTCACACTCCTCCACAGAGCGAGAGAACAGCCATTCCCTCAGGTATGATCTCTCTTTCCTTATCACCTTATTGATGCTTGCTGTTCTCTTCGGTTTCTTGACGTTGGATACCCCTTTCCGACTTATTCTCATAGCAGACTGTTCGATGCTTAGGGTTAATGGTTTTGGAAATCCGTGATTTCTGTGACGCTGGTGATTTTGCGGGTTCTTTTTGGCTTTTCTTGAGTCCCACGATTAGGGATTAAAGGAAGATGGATTCATATTTCTGTTCGAGACCTGCTTAGGTTTCGATTTTGGTATTTGGGTTGTGTGGGTGAGTAGTTGATACTGAACTGCAAAAATTGTATTACAGATTAAAATTCCCACAAGTTGGACACTTTTTGAGGATAATTTTCTGTGCTAATTTTCTTGAACAGTCGGTAGAAGCTGAAATTGAGATCTTTAGAATTTTTCTTTTGCTTCTCTTTTCCAAAGTAAGATGCATCGACTTTATAGGCCTACTTGACATGCCTGAAACTTAGGGGCTAAAGGCTTCTTTGATCTCTGAGTCATCTGCTGGTGAATCTTAATTAAAGCAATGTCATCAAGAGTCTTGATGCAAACGATTGACAAGGTATGGATTGTTTACTAGGTTTAACTGGGTTTTACATCAGCTGTATAGGTTAATTTATTCTGTTCTAGCTATGGTTGATATGATATAAATAATGATTTGTTTGCTCTGCCAAATATTAATAGTGAACTGTTTCTGCACTCTGATGAGTGTTCTGCTGTGAGATTTCAGTGGATGTAATTCCCTTGAACATCTACTTGCAGGTTATTGATAATGTAAAGTTTGCTGTTTAATATGTGTTTTTGTTTCAATCTAATGATGTAGAACTACTTTGTCGCGCCGTATAACGAAAGAGATGTTAGTATCAGCTGCCTCAGCTCTGTATGTTAGCCTGGTTGCTTCTTATGGTACTCGGATTGGCTTGGAACCAAAAGCAAAGGCCCTTCACGTTACTCAAAAGACTCCAAAGCTTTTCAAGGGATTCAATGGTCTGAAAGCAGCAGCATCGGTTTCTTGTGAATCAGATACATCTTTCCTGGGAAATGGAAGAAATGCTACTGTATGGGAATCGTTCAAGCCAAAATTGGGGAGACCGAATTTGAGAACAAAAAGTCAACTGAAGCCACAAGCTTCATCTTTTAAAGTGGCTGTTCTTGGAGCTGCAGGTGGTGTTGGGCAACCACTAGCTCTCCTGATTAAGATGTCTCCGCTGGTCTCAGCTGTGCATCTCTATGACATTGCAAATGTAAAGGGAATAGCTGCTGATCTCAATCATTGCAATACCCCCGCCCGGGTTCTGGACTTCACTGGAGAATCAGAGCTAGCTAGTAGTTTGGAGGGGGTGGATGTGGTTGTGATACCTGCAGGGATTCCACAAAAGCCTGGCATGACCTGCGATGACCTATTCAATGTCAATGCTAACATTGTGAAGTCACTGATGGAAGCTGTTGCCGACAATGCTCCGGATGCTTTTATCCACATCATTAGTAATCCAGTGAATTCTACTGTCCCTGTTGCTGCAGAGGTTCTGAAACAGAAGGGCGTCTACGATCCAAAGAAACTTTTTGGTGTTACCACACTTGATGTTGTGAGAGCCAGCACCTTCGTGGCCCAAAAGAAGCACCTTAAGCTTATCGATGTCAGCGTCCCGGTGATTGGGGGTCATGATGGAATAACCATATTACCGTTGTTATCAAAGACTAGACCATCTGTGACCTTCACTGACGGAGAAGTTGAAGAGCTTACGGTGAGGCTTCAGAATGCAGGGACGGAGCTAGTGGAGGGAAAAGCTGGTGCTGGATCTGCGACTCTTTCAATGGCCTACGCGGCAGCAAGATTTGTCGAGTCGTCTCTTCGTGCTTTGGACGGAGACGGGGATGTTTACGAGTGCTCCTTTGTTCAATCTGATCTGACGGAGCTTCCGTTCTTTGCATCCAGAGTTAAACTCAGCAGAAAAGGTGTGGAAGCCGTGATCCCTTCTGATCTCCAGGGGCTGACGGACTACGAGGCCAAGGCACTCGAAGCTTTGAAGCCGGAACTGAAGGCAAGCATCGAGAAGGGTGTGTCGTTCGTTCACAAGCAGACAGCTGCAGCAGCATCAGGCTGAGTCACTAGACGAAGAAGACTGTTTTAAGTTTTGCAGAAAGTTGAGAGTTTTGTTCTTTTAGTACGAGACAACAAGAATGATCAAGGAGTTGAAGTGATGGTTGTACTGCAGCAAAGTAACAGGCTTTCAAATCCATTGCTCCTTACTCGAGCATGGAGAACTCTTGGGATTGACCAGAGGCTCTGGTTCTTGCCATTGGTTATTCCTTCTTCCCTCTGTACATGTATTCTGGTATAAAAGCTCCTTTGCTCAGAAACCCAATCTACTTTACAGTCTTAGGGATGTGCTTTCCTGTTGGAATCTGTAAAGAAATTTGGAAGACAATTCTCTGTAAGTAGTTCTCCTTTGTTCCCACTGTTCATAGATCTGCTGAAGTGGGTTTGCTTTAACCAAAGCAAAAAGAGCGCAGTATGTGTGTGTGCCAAAATGAATAGCTACCAACATCAAAGAAAGCAGCATATGTATAATTGCAGTGCAGGCATCCTGGACTGATGTCAACCCCTTTGACATTGTTAACTGCAGATCCAATGGCGTGCATGATTAATGCAAAAAAGGACAGACCAAAGGATAAGGATCTGTAACGCGATGGCCAATTACAGATATCTTTTCCGAAAACCGAAAGAAAAAGAAGAAAAATGCATTGACTGGGCAACCACTGACCGAGACACTATCGGTGTCGCCAGAAAAGGCTATCGTCGTTGTCGTACGGCGGCGCCCTAGATTTCTCCAGATCTGAGCATCAATCCATGTCCACGATGCGGTCCAAGCAAGCGTGATGTCAGATCACTCTCGGGGGGAAGGTCAAGACGATGGCGTGGCACCGTTTCGTCCACCACCGGTATTGCTCGGTGGGGAGCCGGCCGCGTGGCCGTCGGCTCTTGTCGAATCGGAGACGAGGGGCTCGGGTCACGACAAGGGATGTCGCCTTTCTCGCTCGTGGATGCATGCGAAGGTTTCTCTCACTGTAGCACTGTTCACATGCATGCGAAGCTGTCTCCTCACTGTAACACTGGTCAGTGCCGGGGGACTCGACGCATGAGGCCAAAAGGTGTCAATCGATGGATGGCCGAGGAGAGGAGCCAGTGATGAATTGCTGCTTCGAACACACCTCGGGAATCAACAGCTGCATTATGAACATATAGACAAGAATAAGATCGAACACACACGCGATCCGTCACCATGGCAACAAGATCGAACACACAAACAACATGCCACAATGTGCAGCGAGCGACCGCTGCTGCCTACAGGTCATGGGAAGAGCGGCTGGAACCGAATGGACTCGGTGGAAGGACGCGACCGGTGCTACCCGACCCGACGTCCACGCCGCAGCTCTCCGCACGGAACCTCGCCGCCCCGTCGATGCCGGAGCGCTCCCAGTGGTCAAAACTGGTACTTCCTGTCGGCTTCTTCGCGCCGCTCGTCACGTCCACCGCCTTCTCGCTGACGCACCCCAGTAGAAGCCCCGACCCCGACGATTTCCTCGTCTTGCGGAGGCTCGCGGCCGGAGCGACCCGTTCCGATGCGATCGAGAAGTTGGCTACGCTGCGCGTGACCACGCTCCACTCGACGCTGGCTTCGCTTGGCTCGTAGGCCGTCGTGGTCACCGACTCGGTTCCCTCGTGGGTGATGAAGGGATGTGAACTCGTCATCGATAGGCTCTCGATTTCGAACAGGTCCGAGCTCGCATCGCTTTGGACATCGTCGTCTCGTCCACCCTCGCCGCCACTGGCAATCTTGAGACTTCTCCTATGGGTGAAGAAATCTGGAGCAAACACCACCCTGGGACCTCCTCCGCCTTTCCTGTCTTCTCTGGAAGCAAACACCTGCTGTCTCAAACCAGGACTAATACTTTTCAGTCTCGAGTCACTCACCAAGTGCTCGTCGCGTCTCTCCCCAGCTTGCGGGAGCTGCTTCCTGAGGCCGTCCGATCTAGCATGAGACAGGCCGTCTTTGTCGATGTCAATGGCGTCCTTCCTAGCGCATGAGCACGGGAAGACACCAAGAAACCGCTTACCTTTAACTTTTCTCTGCCCGCCGGGAACCGGGTGCTTGCGGCGGTCCCGGAGCAGCGTGTTCCGGCTGTTGCAGGTCATCTCAGAACTGATGCTGCCGGTCGTCGACCTGGATCTCACCCTCACTCTCACTTCCTTCTTAGTTGGCTTCTCAGGTCCATTCTCAAGCGCTTGCGGTGGCGCATCGCCGTCCATTCCTCCGCTGAAGTACTTCTCTGCATCAAAGATTTCGATCTCGCCATCGAGAGTTCTCCTCGTCCCTAAGCTTATTCGGCATGACAAGCGTTCCGGAGCAGAGTTTCCCAGCTCCGGTGGGAAGTTCTCTCTAACAAGAGCAAGATACGTCGAGAAGGAATCATCTCGGGGCTTACTGGGCCTGTTCTCGAAAGCAAGGGGAGCCTTTGGAGCTACTTTGACAGAGGCCATGGGGACTATAAGAGTGACGAAGAATTTGCATGCACTACAAGATGTTCATTTACAGAACCAACACAGATGATCGAGCGAAGACCAAGGAAAAGGAATCCAAAGCAAAGACTGATGCTGAAATCACTTTCTTAATTTCTTCTACTGAGGAAAAGCTTAAGCATCATCAAATAGTTGAGCAGGGAAGGGATAGCTGAACAATGGAGAAAGTTGCATCCATTGGAGAGGAAGGATTTGATGTGGAAGTAGGAGATGATGTGTTTGGTGTGTGCCTGAAACATTGAGAGACAGTTCCTTTATGTAGGCTTTGAGATGGATGAGACTGGTCCATGGTTTGGAATTGGCTCCCTCATCAAATGGGATAGATAGATTTCTGGTTAGATATTGTAGATGTTAGTGCGTGTATACATCAAACATCACAAGAATTCAGATATATATATATATATATAATTATAATTATAATTATAATGTAGATAGTAACAGATGTGTCTTAAGCTCCATTTTATAATTTAGGAATCAAAATATAATATTATGGTTTAATCTTGTATCAAAAGTGAGAAAATATTAAATGAATTTATATGGATTAGATGAGTCTATTATTATTAACTCGTTTAAGTATTTCTTGAATAATAATTATCCATCTGAGTCGATAGAAAAAGTAATAATTTTGGATATGAGGTTTAATCATTATGTCAAATTTTCTTGACCATATGTTAAAAGGATATTGTTATTTCTTTTCAAGATTATCTTCAATTTATGACTCCCTAAGGGATGAATAATGGACCATTGGAAGATGTTGAGTCCAAATTTATTACTGATAATGAGTTCTAATCATGGAGAACAGAGGGCTATGAGGAAGGGAATTCAACAGCAATTGGTTCATTAAATCATCAATATGTGCTGAAGATTGAAGCTTTAGTGCCTACTACTACTGTCCATCTGATAAGCTAAAGCCATTTCAACTTGAATGCTTCACTTGTAGCTAGAAAATTGATGGCATGTGGTAGGGAACTTAAGCACAAGCATACTCCATCTGAGGTTTAACATTTGAGTGTCTATGGCCACAAGAAATCAAGTGGTTTGTATTGATATCTTCCCAATCTACTTGTTAGATTGGCCTCAGTTGATCACCTAAGCAGATTTTTATGTTTGCAACTGCATGGAGATGGCTTTCTGATGCACATCTGCTCCATTTTACTGGCAGTAGCAAAGAATAGATGAAGCAGAGTGACAGTACAATTCACATCTTTCTGGTATTCTTTCTGCTTGCCAATGGTGATGACATTGTTGTACAAGAACAGCAGGAAAAGATGAGCCATTACTTGTCTGTGACAGTCCTCTTAGACAACATCAGCATCATTTATTTCAGCTCAGGGAAAGCTGCACCAATGATAGGATGACTGGATCTTTCTCTCTCTAAAGTAACACACACCAAACCAGCATTAAGGCAGACAGCTCCAAAAATGACAGTCCAAAGAGTAGCCGATTGCAGACTCCGGGGATGATCAAAGGGAATGTCGGGCGAGTTGTCAATGCCAGCGTCCAAATCATGACACTCCCATCTGCTTTATTAGATCATTAATCGGAAAGTTGGCTTTAAATACCTTCACATCAGACTGCTGAATTGTGCAGAGTCATGCAAAAGAGACAACTCTTGATGCTCTGCACCACATGACCCTCATGGAGGAGACTCTCAAGCAAATGCTAACCTCTGGTTTGATGTGTAGGAAACAATCATACATGATGAGCAAGCAATCAGAAGCAGAGTTTCCCTCTAATGATGTGAGAAGCCAAGTAAATGACAGATTTGCTTGAGGCAAACATCATATTAAGAAGATTGACGAGTCTACCATCTTTAATCTTTCTTGTGTCAGTGATTTGAAGCTATCATACAACTCTATCAAATTGTCATGAAGATAGTCTTGTTTGCATGATATCTGGAAGAGTGGAATTTGATTCCAGTATTCCACCAAATCAGTGGAAGGGTTCACAAAAAGAATTGAGTCCTTATCCTTTTGGTAAAGTAAACATGTGGAGAATTTTGGATGTCATAGATGTCATAATCAGATATAATTAGAAATGATCATTATGTGATGCTAAAGGGCAACTACTTTTGTGTCACAACCTTCATTTAATGGAGCAAAATGTGAAGAGAATTTTGTTTGATGAGTTGAAGGGATGACACTAATCATTATAATTAATGATACAGCTGCTGCTGAAAAGAGACACTAAGTAGTACCTCTTCCAATTCCTCTGGGCTATTTCTTCTTCTTTTAAGGTGAAGAAACTGCAAAATTAGCATTAATCAATGTAATAGGAAGATGATGAAATGCATGAAAAATTTGAACTGTTCTTGCCATTTTTTAACCAAACTGTGGAGTCACTTGACCAGCTAAAAAGCTTCATGATAGATAAGATCTTTTAAAAGTGAGTTTACATGATAACAATGAAGTATAAATGCATATGATAACAATGAAGTCGTAGATCTTTCATGTTGGCCTACTTACTTCATCAAGAAGCCCAACCCTAATTGAACATTTTCTTTATTTTTGATGCGATTAATTGAGTTATAATACCTCATCAGAAAGGCCCAACCCTAAGTATTTTGAGCTAGTTGTTCTTGCTAAACGATGTTAATAGATCAGTGATCTCATTAGATCGAATGATATTATGACTGAATTGACATTAAAACAGGGTAAGGAGTTCAAATAGGAAAGTGTTATCCCTTAGAGAAGTCGAAGGGCACGTCGGAGCTACCATTAGGTATGTCTCACATGTGCCTAAGCTATGTTAAATCTTGACAAGGATGTCTTTGTCAAGCCTTAAAGCATGGAAGATTATAGTTTCTTGATTTAATCCTACATCGAAAGTAGATTAAGATTAAGATTAATCAAAGGTTATAACACCTCAATTTAATTTTTGATATTGAAGGTGGCTTAAAACTATCTATCTGTAGTGTTTTCCTTTAATTTGTGGTGTCCTGCTTTTAATTTGAAATGGGGAAATCAGATTAGCAACCTGCTTCTTGAGTTCTTCAAAGCTGTGTGTGGAGTCTCCTCCAACCATTAAGACTTGAGATCCTACACCCAGACATGTCGGAGATCAAAGAACCCTCAGAAACAACCCAAAGAACCAGAGAGGATGCATGCAACTTCATCAGCTCCATTTCCGAGAGGCAACACTGAGCGCTATCCAGCACTCTTGTCGTCCTTGGTTACAGTAGGAACAGGCAGACATGCGGCAGTGACTTCCACAGTGTAGTCAAGCTCAGAGTCGAGACAGACCTCCCCTCTGACATCATCACGTCGGTGGCGGGATCTACGCGGGGCAGAGCTCACCTAACTCTCCTCCTCCATGACCACCGCTTAATCACAGCCCGGATAAAGAACGCGAAGAGGGGGTGCGCTGCTGATCCATGCATTATGATCCGACAATGCGTCTGCTGCGTCTTTAATGGATGTGCCTCCCCGGATGCTGACTCCTCGATCCACCTGTGCGCGACAGACGTTCGATGTAGGTGCTGTGATGGTAATGCCCGGCGGCCCCGCCGAGAGCTCTCTCTCTCTCTGCAGTCTAACATACTGCTTCGTTGTCTCTGCTCTGCTCCAGCCCACGAGCCAATCTATAGCACGTTTTATCTCAGAGTTTCTTGCGACTGAATGCATCCCAGACCTGAGGATGATGCCAAAAGACCCGAGGACGGAGGTGATTGTCGGTCAGTGATCGGTTCAACGAAGAGTATGCGACAGTTGTTTTCTAGGTGTCGTTTGGTAGCCTCAGCATTGACTCGTTCGAAGACCAGAGAATGGAGGAGACCGCATTGGCAGGCAGTCGCAGTCTTACTTTTACCTGCGTGTAAAGGTTGCTTCGCAGTGACATCCATCCTCTGTTCTCTCTGCCTTTCTTTTTCCTCATGTCCTCTCTTTTGATTAGATCTACTTAAATCCTTGTATGAGAAACATTGTAGCACTTTAACCTAAGTAATCTCGTCTTTCAGAGAGATAAGATAGTATTATTGATCGTCGGGGGAAGAGAAGAAGTGGAGCTCAGACCAGAGAATGTAGGATAAAAAGGAGACGATCGCACGATTGCTTCAAGGAGTTTAGCATTGCTCTTGCTAATTCATGTAACACACTTTGCTGGCACACCATTTATGACCGACGCTTCCTGAAATGGCACAAGAACAACACTAGACCGTAGCTGGACGCAACCTAGGACCTGAGAATGCTCCTGATGATCTCAGCCTGCGGGCTGTTGGAGTCCATCGTCGACATCAGGTCGGAGAGCCGGTCGCTGAGGTCGTCCACTTCGCGGTGCAAGCTCTTGATGTAGCTGCACGTCTCCTTCAGCAACTTGGACGCTGAAGCCTGCATGCAATCACGCGTGAGAGGAGAGGAGAGGAGAGTACCGAAGTGGTGTTCTGTTTCTTGATCGCTTACCCTGCTCATGCTCCTGCGGCGAGACTCCGGGAGCAGAGACTGCAGCTTGGAGATGAGCTCGTTGATCTCCTCGTCGGTGATCCTCGACCTCCGGCTCGACATCTCAATGGGCATAAACCTTCTTCTCTCTCTCTCTC